TTTTAGCAGCTGTAACTCAGACAAAGGGCTACTATCTAGAATATATAAAGAATTGAAAAAAATCAGACCCCCCAAATTCAAAGACCCAATTCAAAAATGGGCATCTGAAATGAACCTATATTTCTCAGACAAAGAAGTAAAAGCAACAAATAAACATATGAGAAAATGTTCAACATCACTGGTCATTGGAGAGATGCAGATGAAAACAACAATGAGATTCCACCTCACCCCAGAAAGAGTGGCTGCTATCAAGAAATCAACCAATAACAAATGCTACCTAGGGTGTGGAGAAAAAGGAACCCTTCTCCATTGTTGGTGGGAGTCCAGACTGGTGCAACCTCTATGGAAATCAGTGTGGAGATACCTCAAAGAACTAGGACTAGATATCCCATTTGAGACCACTATTCCCCTGCTGGGTATTTTCCAAAAAAAATTAATTGAATCATACCACAGAAATTTATGTGCACCCATGTTTATAGTGACACAGTTTGTAATAGCTAAAGCTTGGAGAGGGCCCAAGTGCCCATCAACTGGAAACTGGATAAAGAAGATTTGGGTTTTTTTATAAAATGAAGTATTACTCAGCCATAAAGAATGAGAAACTAGAGTCATTTATAGCTAAATGGATGCAAGTTGAGGCCATCCTCTTAAATGAAATGAATAGGACACACATGTGTAAATACAAAATAGTCTCTAGTGTGAGAAACTGAGAGTGTAAATAAGGGTTAAAAGGATTAATAACTAATCACTGATACTTTGAAATAGTAAAAGGTCCAAAGGGGTAGGGGTGGTGGGAGGAGATGGGGAAAGGAAAGAACGGGAAGGAAAAATTATGAGAAAAGAAAAAAAATGGAAATGAAGTCTATGTAAATAGGGTAGGGTGGAGGGGTGAAGGACACGTAGGTAATGGGGAAAAAACAAGAATCAAGGTACATCATGTACAGGTACAAGCACCCAATGATAAATGTAAATGGGTTGTATATCTAAATTGTACCAATAAAAGAATTTAAGCAAAAAAAAAAAGGTCTACTATTTAGAATACATAAAGAACTGAAAATAATCAGACCACCCAAATTCAAAGATCCAATTCAAAAATGGGCATCTGAAATGAGCAGATATTTCTCAGACAAAGTAAAAGCAGCAAATAAATATATGAAAAAATGTTCAACATCACTCTTCATTTGAGAGATGCAGATGAAAACAACACTGAGATTCCACCTCACCCCAGAAAGAATGGCTGCTATAATGAAATCAACCAATAACAAATGCTGGGGGGT